TAAAATCTGTGTATTAACAACTCAGATCAGTTCTGGCATCCAGTTGGCTCTAGTACTGTACAAATTATTGTATCAGCAAAGCTGAGAGGCAGCATTAGGGAATGTTTCTGAATCAGCGGTGCTATGAAACTGTGGCAGAAACTGTTCCTTTTCATTTCTAAGTTGCAAGGTCCCAACTGGATGCTGCCCTGGGGCTGCTTTGACTCTTCAGTGTCTTTTTCCGCTCTTTCTAGAAGTGCCTGCCGAAGAGATTTTCCTTTGCAAGCCTAACTTCTTTGTATATATTCTTGTGTTTTAAAATGTAAAACAGGGTCTCAAATGCCTGTGGCAGATACACGTTACAGGTGAAAAACATCTGCTCGCAAATGTGGTAGCTCTACATTTCTAGAGTCAAAGATGGCCATTTGTAAGTCTGAATGTGAGGCTGGCCACTTGTTACACAGGACAGGTGCATTCTTCCGACCCTGTATTTGTAGAAAAAGTGTAACTGTGATGTTCTTGTCTGATGTCTTTCTGCTGGAACCACTGGCTGCATGCTTGAAGATGGAGAAAAAGGCTTTGTTGTGAACTTGGCCTGAAGTGGCTGGAGAACAGAGCACATAAAATGTTGAGGATCTGTTTCTGTCTGCTGCATCAGAGAGACTATGAACTAGTTACTTGGGTTAATGCAGAAGGTCTGTGATATGGGCAGAGTTTTCCTCACTGGTTAATTTTATTTTTTTTTCCTTGATTGCTTAAAACAAGACCAAAAAGTCTTCAATGTGCTTTTTCGTCTCAGTTACATGAAAAAGTACATACAGATATATTTTTTGCCTTTCGAATTACCTATCAGTAAAATACTGTAGCTCATACATGTTGTAAAATACAATTGAAATGTTGCTTAGCACTAAATAGTGCATGTAAGTAACGTAATACACAAAATAAACTTGACGATCTTCTTAAATTGCATAAGCCTGTAAAATGGAAAGAAGTATTTGAGCCATCTAGTGGTTGGTATGAAACATTCTAACATTTCTGTAGTTTGTAGAAAATTGTGAATGACATCTGCTTGCAAATAGCATTTCTAATTTTTTTCCATGCTTTTTAGTAGCATGGCTGTAGATAAAAAAATGCAGACATTCAACTTCAAATTTGAGGTATGGTCTGTTTCAGTTTGCAGGGTTTTTTTTTTTCCATTTACTGTAGATTTTGGTGAAGCAAGAAGTCTGGTAACATAAAAATTACATTAGAAATTAGTAACCAAAGAAGGAGTTTTGTTAGCATGGAATCTTTAGAAATAGCGAGAGTTTTTAAGAAGTTCAATGAAAGGATTATAAGAAGATAATTTTGTTTTCTACTCCTCACTGTAAAATGTTCGGAGGGGGTAAAAGTGGGCTTATATTCCACTTCACCAGCTATTTATAGCAGGGTTTAAATTACAAAGGTAATCTTACTGAAAAACATGGGATGGATACTTTTTGTGATAAACTTGTCCAGGTAAAATAAACAAAGGCAACTCTGAAAACAGATACTTTTTTTAATTTTTTGTTTAAGATGGAGTGTGTTCCTGCTAAACAGAGTCACAGAATCTTGTGATGAAAAAGGATGGTTTGTAGATGAAAATGTTGTGTGTGCTTCTGCTTGCTCCTGGTAATGCATTAGGTTGTTCTAGCCTTTCGTATTGGATGTCGCCAGTAGGAACTTGGCTGCACATCGGACTTGATGGTATTCTGCAATCCAGGCAGAAAAGTTAGTTGCTAAAGTAATAATTTTATGCGCTTCTCACCTTGAATTATTTGTGGGAAAACACTATATACATTAAAATACTAGTATCTTCCAGTCCTTGTGCAAGTCCCATCAAGGTTCATTCACAGATTAAAAGATATTTTTCTTGTCTGTTTTAAGACAAATCTAATAAACAGGGAACAAGCAGTACTAATGGTGTTACATGTGGTTAGAGCTATAGTATTTCAGGACAGACAAATACGATCCATACCGACATTTCAGAATTTGCACATTTGCATGTGAAGTAAAGTATTACAGGGTCCTAAATCTTGCCCTGTCTTATATTGAGAAGACAGTGTCAGCTTAACAGATTTTCAAGGTCAATCTCAAATGCTTTGTGAGGCCAAATGAGAATGGGAAAAATGGTCACAGAGCATGGGACAGAGCACTAATGGCTGATTTGTATTTTACTGGGGCAGGGACAACCTGAAAGCTTCATGTGAACGTGATACATTAATTACATTTGTTGTGCCTTGAAGTTGGTCATTATTAACCCTTAGGATCAAAATAATCATCCAGATTAATCTTCTGAATCTGTAACTCATTTGGACTGTGAACTCTAATAGGTTTCAGAAGTGGAAATTAATTCTTTGAAGATGTTTTAGTTGTCTGGCATATTTTCCTTGAATCTTGCAGTGTGGTGATGAAGGATTTTTGTTATTACTATTATTCTAATCTTTACGATGACTAGCCTTGATTGCAGTTGGTGGATCTCTTGAGGTAGCATTGGACGGTTTTGTTAAGTTCTGCTCTCCAAATGAGCCTGACTCGAACACAGTAAAGGTTACCGGGTGTGCACTGCATTTTGAAGCTTCCATGTACCATACATGAAAATCTCATTCTTACTTCTTCATTTAAAATGACTTAAGGCATTACGTAGGCTCAGTTTTTGAACTTGCCTTCTTTCCTGTCTGTTGCTGCCAGAGCATGCTTGGGAAGCAGGAAATGCATGGAGTACAGAACGAGAGATCTTTTATCTTTCAGATGTCCATGTTGTGTTTTTGTTCAATTAAACAGGAATGTGGTTTTTATGGTAGTAGTAAAGTGTCATCTCTTTATTGTTTATGTACTTCTGCCTTCACTCTCCCCATTAACATCTTCCAGTGCTCTGATTGCCGTAGTATCTGGTCATACCACATAATTTTCTTGGAAGCTGTCCGTGGCTGAAGCTACGATCCAGCTGTATTCATGAAAGGATCTTTTGGCATTTTCCCCTGGTTTTAATTTGCATTTGGAAAACACAAATCAGGTATAATGAGATGGTAGTATTGGATCCTGTTTCTGATGAATGCTGCTTTTTGAATTTTTTCTGGTTACTAGTTATTTTCTAGGAGAAATTTGGTTATACTTGGATTGAGTTTAAGGCATAACTAGGATTACTTTCATGGAATTGCACAGAAATTTGACTTGCTGAATAAGTGAAAGAGGCATTATCTTGAACTACAATCTTCGACAGTGGAAATTCCATCTCTTGTCCATGTGTCAGAACTTTATGTTCTTTGGGATGTATTCCTTGTCTCTCAAAACCAGAATTATATATAAGAAAAGCCTAAAAATGTGTTATAGGCAGCTTGAATGTGTTGTCTCCTTTAAATAATAGAACAGCTCTGCTAAATAGAAAACAACTACGGTGTGGCATAACTTTTACATGGGGAAAAATAAACAAATTGCTTTTTCTAATTCAGGAAATACATACTAATTATTTGTAGAATTAGAGCGTTAAACATGCATTAAACATCCTTAGTGTAATGTCACTTTAGAAGCAAGTCGTACTTTTCCGTGGAAAGAAAATGGGTTTCCAGAGGGAGAATGGTTCTTTTACCTCTTCCCCTCCCTGCCTAACCCCCCACCCCCTCTCCCTTTCTGTTTTTTATTTCCTTACTTTGGGAAGTAGGGAAAATAGAAATTTGATTAATGATGAGGAAATGTGATTGTCTTGGGCTTGAAGCCAGTATCTGTATTTTTGGTATTCAGAAAAGTGAAATTTCCTTAAGCATATTTTCGGATTCATATAATTAATGTTCTACTTTAGACACTGAAATCAGGGTGTGCAGCTTTGTTTACTTGTATATTAGTATGAATTATTATGACTATGAAACAATGTTCAGTCATAAAACATTTTTATTATATTAAATTGCCTAAGACCTCTACTCCATCATTTCCTTCCCTGCTGTTGTACAAGTAGAACAAAACACAAGTACTTGAGTATTATTGTTGCTATTCCTCCCAAAATACTTGGTAAAGAATCACTTTTTTTACACCTTTTTTTTTTTTTTTTTTAGTGTCTACCTATCTTCCCTTTCCTTCGTTTTGTTTCTTTCTGTTCAAGGTGAAATTTAAACAGAATGACAAAGGATGAGTAAAATACTGGAAAGTCATTCTTACAGCACATGGTTGTCTTGTCTGGTTTTTAAACACTGTTTCTTTCTTTTACAGAATGCTGCCTTTTTATATGGCCTTGGTTTGGTCTACTTCCATTACAATGCCTTTCAATGGTAAGTTGGAACAAACTGTATCAGTATTGTGCGATGTTTCATTAGTAGGTGAATATTTCAAATTCAGTGTCAGTGTATGATAGTGTAATTTTTTTATTATAGATGTTTGAAGACATACTGTTCAAGGTTACATATGTGACTTACTGTAACATATCTGTGGCAGCCAAAACAGTTGCTTGAAAAAGAGAGCACTGGAGAAGAATTTTAGCTCCTTATAATGCGATTCAGCAAGAGGGAGGGAGCAGTATGACTCAACAGGTTTTTGTGAATTGTTGTTGTTGGTAGTCTGTAGTCTGTGTTTGTTTGAAGGCCTACTTATAAAATTTTTTTCTTGGAGAACTGGCAAAGTGGGCTTGTTTTCATTTAGCTTTGCATTCAGCAATTGTACATAACTGTATAATGTAGAAGTTCTGGATGTGAGAAGCAGGACGCTCAGACTTGAATCAGAATGTTTAAAACTGATGTAAAAACTCAGAGTTGGAAATTCTGGCAGGGCTTTGCGTTCTGAAAGGGAGAGGCTGCTGTTGGAGGGAAGGGTTGGTTTTCAGTTCGGGTTTTGAGTTTGCTTTATTGGTGGTGACAGAAGAATGATGAATGGAATAGATTATGTTGCTGGGGTTCTGTTGAAAGGTCCTCAGACTTTCACTGGCATTTATTCTTGTAGAGATATAGTTAGTGTCACTGGAAGAAAGTTAGAAAGGTGCACTATTTAGGTCAATGCTTTTTTACACTCAGCATGAAAACTGTTAATGTGTGACTTCGCTACCTGGTGATTGCTAAGTTTATCATCTTACTGGAGGACTAAGCATAACTGCAGTTAAGGAGGCAGCAAATGACTGCTGACTGATGGTTTGATGGCTTGGAACAATAAAGTGGTATTTCCCCCACCTCCTACCCCCATTCCCCCCTTATTTCTATGTGTCTGTAAGACAAAAGATTTGTGCTGTCCTTGCACTATAAATAAGCTTTTATTCTTCAAATGAAGGTAAGTTGGTTAAATCATGAGCTGAAAACCAGGACTTTCTTTTTGATCTCGCAAATTACTGCTTTCTTTATAGATAGTGGTAAAATGAATGCCATGTATTCTACATTGCATTCTAATTAACAAGAGAAGAACAGAATAAGTTTTCAGAATGCATGGGAATCCACTATTTTAAGATTGTGATCAATCTTGGTTGAATTTCACTAAGTGTCAGAATGTTCTTGTTCTTATGAAGACTTGGCTTCATCATTTAACGTTCAAGAGTTATTTTGTGTGCCAATTCTTCTTACAAGGGGTATCTTGTTACAACTTGCACTATGAAAATGGTAGAAAACTGTAAGATAAAATTGAGTAAGACAAAGTAGTTAGATTTACAATAGTTGGATTTTTTTTGAAAGATCACCTGTTCAACATTGACTTGCCATCAGCAGTTTGTGGTATTTATTAGCATCTTCCAGTGCATGGAGCAGCAAAGTCAGGTGATTGTGAGGCCTAAGGACTAATAAGTTATAGCTTTGAATAAATGTAGATTTTTCTTCCATGGCTTTAAGTAAGCTTGTTGAGAACATGAGTGTAATTGATGCCTTAATTTACGTTATCTGAAATGCATGTAATGTGTTATGTTCAAGTTGTGTAGAATAATCATATTTGCCATTTCATTCATACAGCAAAGTTTGGTGTAGTTTGGTACTAAAGAAGCTGTATATCATTAGGGTATTGGGTAGTTTTTAGAGAAGAAAATCTAACAGATAAAATATTCCGCTTTCTTTGTTGTTGTTTGTTTTTGGGTTTTTTTTTAATTCCTTTGATGCTCTCTGTCCTTTACTGTGTTTTCTCGGGGTCGAGAAGAGTGGGATGTGTGGTTGTGGGTGTTTAGGTGTGACAAAATCATAATAAACTTGGAAGTGATAGCAAGTAATTTACAGTAGATATGTTCTTCTTTGTAGATCTTAACCATCTACAGGACTCTTCCAGATTGCAAGGAGAATCCTGCTTCTTTCAGAGTTAAATGCTAGTCAAACTGTCTTATTTCTTGCAGAAGCTATTCCATCTATTTATTTATTTACAGAGTTCACAAATCTGTATATTTCAAGCAGGTATGGGAGAACTCTAAACCATTTAAGGTAGTTAAAGTTATTGTGCTTCACCCATGAATATATTTTTTATTCACACCACTTGCAGATTTTAATGGGAGGCATGTACAAAGTCCTCCTAAAAGGAAAGGAGTAAGGAAGTGCTTGAGCTTTTTTCATGTCTCGTATAAAAAGGGATAATAAAGCAAGTGGGAATAAGGTCAGGTTTAAAAGTTTTGTTCTTTCTTTTTACATTATTTTTTAAGTTTTCCAGCTTTCATAAATTGAAAGCTGGAAATAAAATAGAAATGTTGGATTGGCTCCAAGATGCATATGCAATTCACTGTAACTCAGTATTTTACACTTTTCTATATACTAAAGCAGTATTACAGTGTTATCTTAAGTACAGATCTTAGTTGATACATCATTTTATATTGATGATCTTGTCTAACTATTCATGTAAGTACTGAAAGTTCTCAGTGTATATACAAATGCCGCAATAGTGTGATCAGACCAATGCTATTTCATGCAGTTATTATAGTGAAATACGCCATAAGGGATCAACTGCATAAATAGAATGAAGTCTAGTAAAACAGGTCCTGCAGATGTTAATTTTTGACACACTGTTCTTTTTACACCATTTTACCATCAAATACTAAGAAAGCAGTTGGCTGGTTTCCCTGTTTCTCAAGCGCAGTATAATACCAGTAGAGTAGACATAGCTGAGATACATAACTTTAATAAATCTAGAGCCTTTTAGATTGAACACTTAAAGAATTCCACTGGTTTATCAAAGGCATCCCTTCATTTCTGTGCAAAACTTGCATCCAGGTGTAGTGGCTTAGATGCCAATTATTTTTTTTTTTTTTTACTTCGGTAAGGATTCTGAGCCTGACTGGTCTCTTGTCTGTTCATTTACACTTGAGCCCCACCAGGATAAAAATCTGGAGTTTAAGATCTGCAGTTGTGTCCTGAAACTGGCTCTAACACCACCTTTGGATCCCAGGGTAGAACTGTGGTGCTCCAAGGCCAGCCTGCTGTGTTTTCTGTGACTGTTATCTTGTGAATTGCTGGACACCCTGTTTATCTGAAATACCTCTCAGGACACTGAGATCAGTCACCCTTATTGCCCCATTTAGCATACCCTGAGGCTCCTTAGTCCAGATCCCTAGCAGCTGTAGAAGTTATGTTCTGTAAACCTCAGTCCTTCAGCATTGACATTTTGCAGGGGACAGTCCTGAAAAAAGCCAAAGACTAATGCAGGAGACCCTTTTCCTCACCCCCATCATGCATGGGTAAAGATGCAGACTGCCTGCAGAAAACCTGTCATCTCTAACTGGAACTTTCTGACCCCTTTGCATCCATCCTCGCCAAGACCAGAAGCACTGTCATTCATCTGTTCAATATCAAGTGATTCCTAGAACCACCATCTCTGTTTCTGGCTCCTTTAAAGTCACGTCGCAGCCAGCCCAGTCTGTTTGCGCTGCTGCATTGTGGCTCTTCCGTACGTTAGAATTTCTCCTGTTAGCAGAAGTTCGACTCCTTGGAAGAGGGATATGGGAGTTCAGCCCAAAAAGCTTTTCTGCCCTCTTGAATTCTGATTCACGTTGGATCTTGACATCAAGAAGGCAGCTGTAGTCCTTTATTACTCTTACTTAAATCGGGTAAAGATAGGCATATAAAACCCCCGTTGGCAGAGTGTACCTTTATCTCCAACATACAAGCACTGAGCAGGCTCTCCACCTCCCATCTCTGCTGCTGCTGAATTCCACAACCCTCCAAAGGCCAAAAGCAGACAGGAAGAGGCAGTCTTCAGTTGTTATCTGTGGTACTGCATCTCATCTCTTCTGTCACTGTGCAGGCCTCCACACACCTGAGACTTACTTTTCTGTTAGAAGTTCTTTGAAGGCTTCACTGAGACAGGAGCATTCTTTTCCACCTACTTACAGGAAAACACACAAACTTGTCATCACCTGTGAGATGTTCTTAGTGCAGATCACAGACCATTTATGTGAGCTGGAGGAGCCTGGTCTCTTTCTCACTCTCTCTGGCTGTCATTCTCCTTCATCTTTTTCAGAAAATGAAGTTTTGCTCTTCCCAGAGTCATCCTGAAATCATAAAGGAGCTGTTTAAACAGCTTTTAGTGTACAGTTGTCTACGGTGGAGTGTAAACTTTTTTTCACTGTTCTTGTGTGCCAGTCTTCAGTATTGCATGCCTTAATCATCTGCTCAAGAAAGTGCTGTTTTATGGTAGTTGCCATTTGCCTGCAAGAGTGGGAGAGTTCTGTGCTGTTGAGGTTCATTCTTTGCCATTCTTTGCTTCCTCTGCCAATACATTATCTTATTTTCAGGGGCAAGCTGTTAGTAACACGGTATGATTCGTCCACCCCACAAGTAGGACCAGATCCTTCAGATGCTTCTCAAGCTGTTTGTGTCAGTGGTTGACAGATCCAAGAAACTGGGCTTTTCCATACAAAGAGTAGTCGTCGAGTGGGTAGTGTGGGGTATGTAGGAATGCTAATGGCCTATTGGGGACCTCCTTCACTTGTGTGGGAATGCCTCACCTGTCGTGTAGACAGCAGCCACTCATCAAATGCGATGTCTGCTCCTCACACCTCCAGGTGTATCAGTAGTTTGTGCCATTGCAGAGGGCACGTGGCATTTGATGAAATAGTCCAGTGGTTGCAGTCTGCGTGAAAGGCTCTAAGGTTCACCCAGCAGTGTCATGGCTCTGGGAATTAACAGTTTGTGGAGTTCCTGCTTTAGAAACACCTGCAGTGGAAAGTCCAGGAGGGATTTGAGAGTAGAAACCCAGCTTGTTTACCAGAACTTAAGATCTTCAAGGTACACATCTGTATTGGTGCTTCTTTCCCTGTTCTGCTGGAATCCTTTCAGCTGGTGTTTGTAGTTCTCTTCGTAAGGAGGGTAGAATTTAGACACACACC